GTTTTACTGTTGAAAAACCCTTTGATTAATCACCTCGACATCGAGATGTATGACTATGAAAAATAAAAAGATTTTAAGTCTCGGAGATAATGTATTTTACAACATATTATCTACACCATCCATTTTCAAGATTTTCATATGTTTATAGATCTACTTGATTTTAACCATTTTTTAAATTTAAAATTTTATAATTCGATATAAAAATAGGTTTTGAGATAATCCTAAGAACATTTTGCATCACAATTATATACCATGATAAAATTTGAAGGTGCACCTTACCTCTACACCTACAAATGCATTCGTATGCAAACTGCATCTAAAATTAAAATATCTGTGTATTATTTAAATATATTTCATATATTATGACCCAAAAAATATTACTAGACCTAGACACATACCTCAATAGTCTTCATGTCCAAGATTTGGACCGTGATCCAACCCACCGGGTTTAAAAGGCCCATACTGAGACCCAGATCGAATCTACCCCTCAGGTATTGGGTGAGGTCAAAAGAAGGGAATCCCCTCAATTCCCTCTTGATCACGCTTTCACCACTCTTCACCTACTCTCTCATGGCTATTTATTTATTTGTTATTTTCCTCACCCTTAAAACTAACTAACTGCCCACCTCGAGTTTCTTCAATTCACAAGAACCCACTCTTGTTGTGAAACGCCAAGAGAGTTTTGATCTTTGAAACTATGATATATCTATTTCCCCTACAAATACTATAGAAAGGAAAAGGAAAGAGAGAAGAAAGGTTAGTTTGTACAGGCTCAAGTGGCAGGTATGAACATCTTTTTCTCTGCCCCGCCTCTGACAACCCAGATTCTAAAGAGAGAAACTGCACTCTGAAACCCACCCACCCAGTCTTTTGCATCTAAATTTTATTATAGGGATACAGTTGTACCCCACCCACCCACCCACCCAGTCTTGCCACCTTCTCTTGGCGTCACCTACCGCCATTCCTTTGGACTCTGCTACTGCTGGGTAACCTAACCAACCAATTTCATTGATCGATTGATTGGGGTGTTTTAAGTTCCGGCCACCTTAATTCTTATTCTGTCAAAAAAAATCAGGGTTTATGCACAGGTGCTTTTGTCTGGGCAGGCCAGATGGATTAATACTAATACTCAACCCACCCACCTAACGGATTCCCGTGTACTGATAAACTCTTCTTCATTCTTTCTTAATTTTTGGAAGAGATGGCATTCAGTTTCTTTGTTTGTTTAGGATCGCAGTGTACTAATAATACTCTTATTCATTCTTTCTTAGTTTTTGGAAGAGATGGCATTCAGTTTCTTTGTTTGTTTAATCGTGCAGAAAGTGGGGGCTAATACAAATAATAATAATACAAGGGCATTCATTCCGGTTCCTGGAGGACGCCTTGTGGAGCTGTTTGCTTTTGATATTGCGAAGCACCTGCTCTTTCTCTGTCTTACTCTTTGTTTTGTAGTCCATCTGCAATGGAATTCTGAAGGCGACGCCCTTTCCATTTCATCCTTGTTTATTTTATTAGTTTTTTGAAAATGCACGAAATAATTATATTATATTATATAAAACAGATATTCTGACAAGTTTAAGCAATTAGGGAAAAGAAAAAGACATCAAAAAAGGGGTTCTCAAAAGTGTTTGATTTGATAATATGATAACAACAAATATTAGAGGATCGCGAGGTGATTGAGTTTGTTATAGAGGAGCAGTGGCCGACAAATTGGCCCCCTAAACACCCTCTCCATTAGGTGTCTTGGCAGCAGCAGAGGCAAGAAGCGATGATGATATCTTCTTCTTCATCTTCTGCCATAAAGGAAATACCTTTCCATTTCTCATTGGAAAACTTAGCCGGAAACCACCAAAGTTTCGAGCCCCAATACCCCACAGACCTACAAGAAGATTACGAAAGAAGATACTGGTACCACCACCACCAAATGCTAGGCAGCAGGCAAAAGGACTTCCATTACCACCCCCAATGGACTAGTGTCCCTTCTCCTTCGGATTGGGGGTCATATGGCTAACAGCTGCTGAGGAACATCAACGTTCTCTTTGATGGCTCTGCCAACTCCATGCTCTCAGATGACATGATGAAACCTCCAATCTCCTTCCCCAATCTTAAATCGACATCATCCTCATCACAGGTGAAGCAGGAGGGTGAGAGGAGGGGTGACTCCATCTCTGACTGCAGCGAGGATGACGACGAACAAAAGGGAAGGACTGGAAGGAAACATCAGTCTAAGAACCTGGTGGCTGAGAGGAAGAGAAGGAAGATGCTCAGTGAAAGGCTCTATGCCCTCCGCTCCCTCGTGCCCAAGATCACCAAGGCAGGCCAACATCACAACCCACCCCTTCTCTCTTTTTTTTTTTTTTTCAAACTGTAAATTTTTTCAGTCTTTTTTCCATCTTTCTTTATTCATCTTTCAATTATGCTCTCATTCTTTTTCGAAGTAAACATATGTAATTTCGTAGGTATGAGATTGTTTGTAGATGGATAGGGCATCCATCTTGGGTGATGCCATAGAGTATGTAAAGGAGCTGCAGATGCTAGTGAAGGCACTACAGGAGGAGCTGGATGAGACAACTGAGGAAGAGCAGTAGCAACAGCAAGGGAACGGAGGCGATGGTGGTGCTCCTCCTGCTACGACCCCTTCCTCTGATAGCAACAACCATGGCGGCTTTAGCGTCATGGAGGAGCGGGTTGAGGAATTCTCATCCACTACTCATCACCTGCTGCATATCCCCAACATCAACAATGACTCTTCCGATGACAAGGCTCAGCAGCAGCAAATGGAGGTATGTCCCATCTCAAAGCAGATATCACGGCCCGCTCGTTCTCTTCTCTCTACATTACTTAATCTCCAAAAACCACCTAATAGTGAAATAAGGAATGGTGATTTGTTTTCTGGTTGTTTTCAAGTTCAGGTTGGGGTGAACCAAGTAGGCGCCCATGAGTTCAACCTGAAGATATTTTGAGAGAAAAGTAGTGGTGGTTTTGCGAGCCTAATGTAGGCCATGGATGCCTTGGGCCTCGAAGTAATCCATGTTAATATCACTACTTACATGAGCCTCGTTCTTAATGTCTTCAAAGTCGAGGTATGTCTCTGCAATCCTTTCTCTGGGATAGAGCCGCCTCACTCTCGGTTCTGAGAATGCAAATTGGTGTGCTTGTGTTGTTGCCAGATGAGGGATAACGAAGCTATACAGGCAGAGCATGTGAGGGATTCACTTCTAGAGCTCACCCGCAATCCCAATGGTTGGCCTTCCCCTGTACCTAAATTGCAGCATGTCCACTTGCGGGAGCTCGCCACCAATCGGCGCCGCCAACTTCTCCAGCACCCATATTTGATACGGTTGTTTAATATACAATGTTTTGAATATTTTTAGTCTAAGATTTTTCTTCTTTCTTGAAATTAACCATATTAAGCAGTTTTAAATCACTCCCTTTTGTCTGAATTATGAACTTAATTTGTTTAAACTGCATCATGCTATTGTGGGGTTTGAATTGTTTAATGATAGCTTATTGCAAATGGTATTCGATATGCAAACCTTGAAACCATTTCATTTCATGCAGATTTTTATCATTTTTATAAGGACATCTTATTGGATTAAATTCTCGCCCATGCTTTTGCCCTTTATGATACTTAAAAGGCATTGTGGTGAGGATGTGATGCATTGAGTTCTATTCCTAGTGTGGGCATGAGCAGAGAACCTCTTCCCTCGTGTGAGTATTTATACATTAAAAACATAAATATATAGGACACAATCCTCTCACACAAATTGCCACAGAGTTGAGACAAAGGTGTTATTAGCAAAATTCATGGTGCTTTGTCATAACTAGAGTGGCATATAGATAACAAATTTATCCGTCGAACAACATCTAAGTCGTTCTTGTCTTAACATAAACATTCATGTTTCTTACTTCTTTCTTTCTCTATTCTTTCAATACGGTTCTTATTTTTTCTCTTCATGGCGATTTCTTATTTTTTCGCATCAAGCACGGTGCAGATTGAATCTAACATATTGTGATAACATAATTTTGGACCATCAATTTTCAAGATTTTCAAGTTTTCATAGATCTGCTTTATCTATACTATTTTTAAAGCTTTACATTTTAGGTCTCAACTGTCCGTTATCGTGTCTTCTTGCGATAACTTCTATATTGTTTTATTTCTCTCTAAAACATAACTATCTCGCTGGTTATTGGATGTCGGTGATTTTTCATATACGTGAGGTAGTATCTGATCATCGGTTCTTGTGGATCGTGGTGTTCATCACTAAGGCATCATGGTTGATGAACATGGTTAACAACCGGGTACCGGGAATAAGCCCATCCAGCAAGAACGAGACATTCAAGATATTTAGTTAGAAAATTTGAGAAGGCAAGTAGCGGAGCTGACCCAGCGTTTAGCGCAAAACCAGTCCCATCACACTATGATTAATGGTGGTAAGTCGAAAGCTGCATTCAAGAACCCGATCTATGCATTTGCTCCACGTCTGAAGCCTCATGTTCGGGAAAATAGATCATGGGATTTAGTTGATCTACATGATTTGAAAGAGAACGAGGTTGATTTTGGCCTAGTTCGTATCGAAAATCAGCAAGTTGTAGATGTGCCACCAGTTTTTGTTACATATTTAAGTGAAGAATAACATTTCGTATGAAATAAGATCTACGATGATAATCAAGATTTCATGGTTGAATTGATATTTGATGAGGAAAAAGATGAAGCACTCAAAGGAGAATAGATATGTGAAGTTATCGGTTCAGTCTTAGAATCTAACACTAATATTAAAGATACACTCGTGATGTGTTCCAATCTTGACAAATTCAGCAGGGCTAAATGGATGAACTGATTCAATTTCAATAAGTATATGTGGCGGAACATATTTTATTGACATACAATGATCCTTTCCTCGAGGGTTTCTTAGTTTCAATGCACGATCACTATGTTTTGATTAGTGTAGTAACCCGCAAACCCTAAGATAGTGTTTATAATATTTGAGTTAACTGACATAGACTTCATCTTAACTTATTTCAAAACTCGAGAATGAGCTTTCTCCAAATAGGGGAAAATGATACATATCAAGAGATTGATGGATTCAATATTAATTTTAAGGGACCTTTATTACTTCGTTATTTTCTTTATGAATATATTTTTGTTTTTATCTTGTTAGGGATAAATATTAGAAATAGGATTACAATGTTTTTTGTTTTTTGGTTAGTTTGATAAAATCAATTTCTAGCAAGCTTTTTCTAATAGAATAAGAGATCATTTTTTCAGGAAAGATAAGTCCTTTTTTATATCCGCATTTCTTTCTTTGTGTGTGAGCTTTCTTTGAGGAAGGTTTCTACTTATATGAGGTTTTATCATTTGGGTGGGGACGTGGATAGAAGCATCTAAAGACAAACTTGCTGCCGGCTCTTCTCGAGGGGGTGTTTCTGAGACTGTTGCACCATCTCAAGCGAAGGGGAAGCGGGCTGCCACGGCTATTCCTCGTGCACCAACTCGTCTTGCAGCACGGGATTCGAAGCGCAAGGGGCATAAACTCCCATTGGTTCGGGAGTCGGTCGATGGCTCTTCACCACCTGCTTCCTTAGAGTTCTATGTGTCTCCGGTGGTCTCAAATTCACCTTCCGCTTTAGAGGATTCATCTTCTCTTTCACCTGAGCCTTCTTTTGGCTCCTCAGAGGTTCCAGCAGGTGCCAGGAAATGAGGCCTGCGGCTGAGGGAGAGGGTCCAGTCCCAATGGAGATCAATGGGGCTGACAATGCAAGCCTTGAGGGTGCTGCTCAAGGTGAGGAAATTGTGTAGTCCAGGAAGCTGCTACACTTACTGAAGCAGAGGATGCAGTCATGGAAGGGGCAACCCATGCTCTGCTCAAAACAGGGGGGCCTGTGGTGATAGAGGAGGCTGGGGCTCCGGTGACTGAAGAAGGGCTACCTGAGCAGCAGGAAGTTGCTGCTTTGAGCAAAGTAGCTGTAGAAGAGGTCGAAGAGCCAGGACATCTTCAAGGGGTTGACCTCGAGGGCTTAGAGGCGGTACCCCTGGTTGCAGAAGAGGCGGGCCTTGTGGAAGAGCCTGTAGTTGAAATGACTGTCCTGGGGGATAAGGGCGAAGAAGGAGAGGGGAGAGGCGTCGCACCTACCGAGGCAGAGGTGGGGGTTCAAGAAGAGAGGAAGCAAGAAAAAGACACCACCCCGGGAAGGAGGCTACCGTGGTGCACCATGATACTGAGGCGGTAGCTCCAGAAGGGGAGGTCGCCCTTGCCCGGGTTGAGGCTATGGAGCCTATAGAGGGCAATGCTGCAGACCTGAACATGTGAGGGTCGAGCCCGAAGAGGTCATGGGAGGGGATTTGAGCGAGAGGGCTGTTGTTGAGATACCAGGGCAGCTTGAGGTTGCCCCTGAATCTGAGGAGCTTGAGGCCTTGGGTTTCGTGGTCTCTCCCGATACGCCAGTGACCTATCTGGCCACTGTTCCTGTGAGTTCTGTGGCTGCAGCTGGGGATTCTCCTGCTGTAGTCATGCCTGTTGCGCTGCCTAGGCCCATCCTCAGTGGAATGCCTGGAATTATCATGGAGATGCTTCGGGCAGGCATTCAAATGCTGAAGGAGCTAACCCTGGCCGAGCTTGGTGACGCGTTCACGCAACTGAGGCAGCTTGCCCTAGGGGCCACACCAGAGGCCATCCCGTATTTTGACAACATCGTGAATGAGCATGAGGGATGGAGGGTGAAGGCTTTGCAAGAGAAAGAGATTATAGCGCGACTAGGGGAACTCACAGTTAGAGTCCTTGGAAGCCTCACTAGCACACAGCCGCGAACTGGTGGAGGCCCAGCTACAAGAGTGGGAGGCTATTGTCTCTCATAGGTCCGCCCTTGCTAAGAAGGCTATAACACACCACTACAGGGTAAAGGCCCTGAAGGCGAAAATAGCGAAGTGGGAGCGAGAACTTGAAAAACTGGAGAAGAAGATGGCAGCTTGGGGGGCTGAGGATAAGAAGCTAGGTCAGAAGCTGCTTGACCTCTCATACTCTTTAGGCAAAACATTGGGCTTGGTGGAGCATGAGGTCGGGCTAGTGGCCGAACTGAGAGGAGATATCCAGCAGGCGAAGGCATTGGCAGAAGTGTGCAAGGGAAAGGTCTATGAGATCATTAACCATTTTTTATAGGGCCTTCTTTCTCTTCTTCTTCTTCGCATTTCTTCTATTGTAAAGGAAAGGATGATTGTAATGCCCCCTTGGTTTATGAATGAAATAGCTATTTCCTCTTTATGTGTGATGCACGTCTTTTACTCTTCCTTCTCTTTCTGCTTCATTGTTTCCACCCTTTCACAATGTGAGACAAAAAAGAATAGCCCACTCCTTGCTTTGTCTTATGACAGCTTGCTGTGGCTTCAATGACCTCGAATGGGGGAGCAGCTGCTTCCTCACCCGTTAGTGTTTGATTAGACAGGGGCTCATAATTCATGGTTCTCATGATTTGGTGAGCCTATTCGTTGTAAATACTCCAATCTAGGGGATCCTTGGCTTCGATTCGGAGTGCATTGCTCTTGAGTTGATTATAGATCTTAGTCTTAGGGACAAACTCCTTTAAGTGCTTTGAAGCGACGCGCATAACCTCCAACTGATTCTGGAGACTGTGAACCTCACTTCTCAGCTCTTCCATGGGGTCTCGTTCTTGAGAGCCTGAGGCTGACCTGTGCTTGCCTGCCCTTCTCCGAGAGCATCTGAGAAGTGTAAGGCCTTCTTTTGGCTACTGATGATCTCCTTGTTCAAGGAGGATGGGATTTAGAGTATCTTCCTTGGTGGTTGGTATGACAGTTCTGCTTCTAGGAGAGTAATGGGCACATGCAGGACTTTTTACTGGTCCGGTGTGTAGGTGACCCTCGGTGCTGGAAGGTCTAACTGTAGGGCTTTGTCAGCCTCAAGAGTTGCTTCTAGCTCATTATTTTGTTCTGATGAATTAGAAGTGGAGTTAGAGGGGGAAGCTTCATCTTGGGGGGATGACACCATGACCTCAGAGATGTGGCAAGGTATACTTGAGTAAATAGGAGTTAAGGGGAGGATCTTGCCTTGTCTTTCCTCCTCTTTGAACATGTCCGTAATCATTCGCCCAAGGTCCTCGACATCATCATGAGACAAGGGTCCTATCTCTCTCACAGGCTTCAAATCATAATCCTTTGACCTTTCTGTTGCTGGAAGATCCGTGAAATAGTACTTAATGTTAGTATAGTGAGTCTTGCTACTGGGAACGGCCTCTTATCAGCATAGACCGTGTGTTGTCTCCCATCTTGACTGTATTTGAAGCATTGGTGGAGTGTGGATAGAACCACCCCCTGCTTATGAAGCTAAGGGCGGCCGAGCAAGACATTGTAAGATGTATCAGTGTCGATTACGTGAAACTGAGCGTAATCATTCAGGTCACCGATCTTTAGGCGAAGACGAATTGTCCCAGC